TCCAATAATTAAGGCAAAAAATTGTAATCAAGCGAATGACCAGCAAGTGGCAAATGATAAGCGACACATCCAATGTTTTGACCTCCAACTTAAAGCATATTCACGGATATATGCGATATGCCTTTACATATGTACATAGAGACATGCATATATATTAACGGTGCAAATGTTCGCGATTATCCAACACTTAGATATACTTTTTATAGTATTCAACAAAATTAGATGGTCACTTAGCTGTTATTTGAGAACGTAGCACATAAGCGAATAAGCAAAACGATGTTCCTCTTGCTATTTAAAGAAAGTATTGGATGAGTCAAACTTTCAACTTACCATAGTCTTTCGAAAAGCAAAGTTAAAAGTTTTGAGAAAGATGCTTGTAAGGCGGTAATCAGAAATATCAGTGAATGGTCCCAGTTCAAGTGTACTGGGGCCGACCTATTTGGACAAAGATTGCAGAAAAGTATATCTCAAAGCTAGTAGTCAGTTCCAAAATCGTACTTGAAAAAGTAGGAACCCGTAAGAGGGTAACCTTGTGGTGCGTTCCAAGTCATGAGGGGGCTTTGATGACAATCAAAGGGCTGACACTCTCGAAAATTGCTGAGCCGAACGTGGTCTTCAGGGTTCACATACTTTCTGTGGTCCATCCATGGGATATATGGCAAAGCTCATCAGAAAGTGATAGGACTCTCAGGTTGCACCCCCTGGCGTATGCCGAAGTGCAAAAGACAATTCAGGATATTTATAACTAGCTCTCGTGGCGTCTCTGAACTATTATTGTGCCTTAGTCGGAAGGGTTTAAGAACTATGACTGGATACCTATGTAGTAGGCACTGCAAGTTAAGTTGGCAACTTTGTAAAATGGAACTTTCTGGATAAATGGACTGCAGGCTCTGGGAGCCGGAGGAGGAAAACTCAGATTACCAGAGATTGTAGTGGCTAGATCAGCGTATTCGCAATTAAAAAGCAATCAAATCTTTCGACTAAGTGCCCTGTGCACACTGTAGTAAGTTTTTGGGTGTCTTTTTTGATCATTCTTAAGAGATTTTCGGTTTTAAGTGGGTCCTAGAACACCCAGAACTGCCGGGTAATCCTATGCGAGCCTGTACGGTTTCACCTCTGCTTGCCCTTCGAGTAATAAATTTCCTTAATTTTGGCGTTGATCTCCAAAAGCGAGGCCCTTATGTCCCTTACATGGGACACATTCAGCGCGGAGTCGCACCTTGTCTCTATGTCTCGGGACCCATATGAGGGTAGTTACGTGTGGCTCAAAAATAGAGGCCAACACTATCCTAAAGTCATGCACTAGTTGAAATTAAACATATGAAGAAGAGTGTGCTTGAATGGCCGCTTGACTAACTGAGAAGATATTCACCTGCCTTCTCGCGGGTACATTCTATTTGATGTAACTTTCTGCCTTCCCAATCTCAAAAGTTTCGGTCTAATAAACACTTGCATAGTCGTATGCGAAAGGATAGCTTTAGGTTATATTCCGTATTCCATGTTTGACCCATCCCTAAGGACCTCCCCTTGAGTCCAGTTACTGCGGCTTGGGAATTTCATGCGAGGTCTGTGGTGAACCCAGGTTTTCGATTGAGACGTTAGTGAAAGCACGGGGTAAGCCGAGAAAAACTCCACCTCTGAATTCTTCATCTACTTCGTCTTGGAACAGCGTAATATCCTATATATCCTGTACGCGCAGTGCCTCTATACGCTGAGAGAAATGATAAATCATATCAGAGATTAAGTTTTTTTTAAATTTTTTATGAACGAAGACAGATTAGCCTTCGTTTTCATAATAAGTAAACATTGGGTGTGCAACTGAAGTCAAACCACAATCAATGCAAAGTCCTTTTGTAAAGCCGGCACATTTTATTTTGCCCTTTGACCCCATTACCCACTGTGTTTGCGCAATCATCACACTCATACTCATATTTTGTTAGTCTACTGGCAGATATTCTTTTATAACTCCAATTACAAACAGAATTATGCAAAAATTACCATCAAATCACAGCTGAAAAATCGCGACAAACAATTCGAATTCACGCCATAAAACGCAATGAGACAATGGCATCAAGAAAAATGCCTGCATGCTAAGTACTACCACACACAATATTGCACAAATGTGGCAAGGCAAGTTCAATGCAACATAATAATGTTGACCTTAGGCATTGCTCTGTGTGGCAGTCTAACCACACATGCACATACCCATGTATGTACAATCAATCGAGAAAACTCCCATGACTGTTCTAGTTCTGGGGTTGCAACACACATAGTATGACAACTTACCGACATACATACATACACACATACATATCAAAGCAGTTTGCTTTGCACACATATGTGTGTATGTATGTTGCATGTGCTCATAGTTGTGCTATGACAAAGGTTGCATGCCACATAAAATAAATTAAAAGTTTTGTTTTACTTAACGCTAAATGCCGAAAGCCAATGTCATGCGAATCGGGGTGCGAAAACTATGTGAGACTATGTATGCCCCCAAACAATGGTGTACCCACCCGCTCGCCAGCCACCTGTCGCTTTTTGGCTGGTTGACTTTTGTGGCCTTCGGTGGTGTAGAACTGCGGAGTAATTTATAGTTAAAAGAATAGAAAAATACACACTCTTATGTACATATGTTTATGTAACTACATATTTATATTTTATTGTTTGTGATATGTGAATATATTTCTATGACTTTATTATATTTATGTATGTTTTCATGTGGAGTAAATATGTGTGTATGCTTATGTGTTAACATAGGCACTTAGATGCGAGTATTTAAATACAAAATCATTTTCTACAAATCCTATTAACTAATATTTATAAAAAACACGAGTAATAAATTTAAAGTTGGACAGTAGTACGATTAGCACTGCTATACTCAATGCACAAAACTACTTACTTAGAGATCGGTTAAACTAAATCAAGCAGCTTTCAACTAAGGACACGAATTTGCCTCGCAATTATTTAGAATTATCCGGATCCACTTTTATCGAAATTACGATAAATTTTCCCCAGCAATATATTAAGTAAATCCTTAGCAGCGTTTGGCTATATGTATGTCAAATTGTATGCTGGAATTTATGACAGAGTCCTGGAGCAAACAGAATCATACATTTTGATAATATTTACCTTGAATCCATAATTTCGAAAAATGTTTAATAATTATACCTATTACAGATCAATTACTATAGTTTTCGGCTTCACAAAATATAAGCGAGAATAGTTGATATACCGAGAGTAATTAAAAATATATACCTAAGGATGCTCTGTGGTAGGTTATTGATTCCATCGGTGTCACTCCTGTCACTCGAAAGGAAAGCAAGTAGGCACCCCGAAAGGAGATTCCATGTGCTTATCATGAATGAAAGATTCTAGACCGAAAATAATTGCATAAGCAGACGACTCATCATTGCAAAATTCGATGATCGGAATAATGATGGAAAACTAAATCTTCATATTGTACCTATTTGCTGAAAAGTTGTACCTAAAAGTAAATAACCGTACCCATAAAGTAAATGTGTATTTTTATGTGCATACATTTTTGATAGTTGTTGGACTATCTCTTCTTCCGGTACCATATCTACTTTTGGAATTATTAGGCCTATGTAAATCTTATAAAAACTTGATGGAGGAACAAAGGAAACCTTTGGATGGACTTAGAAGGTCGAGTGATTGTGGTCATTCAGAAACTTAACCCTCATATGAACTTAGATAAAAATTACGTTGACTACCTCATGTGTAGAATTCTACGCACATGCTTTTTATACATTTATTTTTGTCTACAATTGTGTGTAAAAATTGCATGCCAAATCATTATTTTTATCGTCCACACAGTCATGATTATAACCTGAATACGCTGCTCGGAATCAAGACATCAAAGCATGCATGAAAAGTGTTTTGGTCAAAAGCGATGAGGAAAGGGATAGGTGACAACGAAATGGCATCAGCGTCTTAATTAAGAAACCTGGTCCACGATGTAATAAATCTTTGATTACTTAATTCATAATCATAGGAAAATTAATTTTTGTTCTTTGGTTCAAAGGGTTTGTTGGGTAGAAATCTTTGCAAAGGGCACAAATTGTAACTTTTTTGAAAATAACGTTTTCAGTTCGTAAGAGGTAATTAAAATTTAGTTTTAGTAATGTGAAATGATGCCGGTGACAAGTTGAATGCACCCTAAAAGGTATTTCAGAAATAAAATACAAAAAACCTATTTGGGTATAATTCTAGCCAAAGGTCATATGAAGGTTAAATTAAGATTTCTTATTTGAGAAACTCTATGTAAAAAGTTAGTCTTATCTGAGCACTAGAGTAGCTTTCGTTGTTGAAGATAAGTATAAGTATTTAAAAGTCTAACCTTAGCACCCAGTAATTGCGAAAAATACAAATTTTTTGTACAGATAGAAATTTTTTTTCGAAGGTGTGTGGCCAGCGCATGCTTTTATCGCTTTATATGGAATGAAAGTTGTATTTACGATATATAAGAAATGTGCCCTGTTTGATAGAAAATACAATCGACGCTAAATATATTTGCGAATTTCTCTACTGATATTCATATTCATATACATATATGTACATTAGTATGCGCCTTATTTTTATGAAGACAATGTTTTTATAAGCTACGAAGTAAGACCGTTTGGGCATAAAAACGTGCTCTGCGAAAAATGTTCAAAATCGGATAACGAAAAGACTTGCCTCAATAGCCCTGAAGTGACACACTCTGATTCATTAAATTGTGCATAAAATAGGAAAACTAGCCTATATTTCAGTAAAAAGAGCGATTTTTTTCGCATTAAATAATCAATGGATTTTTTTTTTAACTCATAAGGCCCTTTTTCCCGTATATGGAGAGGGGAGTCTTGCTTTGGGGGTCAACATTGTAAAATTAGGCACACGCTAATGTAAATCCATATAGTTCCCAAAGATTTTTTCTTCGAACATACCTACCCATATGAATAAATTTTTTTTTTAGTACAATTACTTCACCTGACCTAAATCATAATATGTCTCAATTTCAAAGTGCATTGAGTATACATGCAAATATTTTCAATAAATCCAACCGCTGAATACTTATGTAGTTACCTCCTAATCATCAGCCAGATGCGCAGTTGGTTGCACTGTCACCGCATTTGCTGCCACGGCTCTAAACTGTAGGCCCTGCTGCGTAGCTGAAGCCCAGCTACGTCGCGGTAGTATGCGACCAAAATTAAAATACCGTTGCCTCAACTTATCCTTAATCTCGTCTTCGTTCATAATGGCACTTGCTTCGCGGAAATTCAAGAATATGCGCCCCTTTTCATCTGTTTTGATGGGTAAAATTTCAGTGCAAACATTGCGTGCTTTCAGTAAGAAACCCTCCTCTACATTCGAACTGCCGTCATCTTCACAAGCGCTATCCGAACCACGTAATCCCTCGTCATCGTCATCGTCATCGTCCGCCTCATTGATGCCATTGTCTAAGCGTGCATCAACCGACTGCGAGCGTGGCGGTTTGACGTGTTGATTGTTTGTGTGCTTCTTCTTGTTGCGCAAGTAGAATGGGTCGCGCTCGCTAGCCTTCACATATTGCACGACCGGACGATTGACACCCCACTTGGGGCGGACGTCTACCTTGTGATTATTGTTATTATTGTGCGTGTTTACTATTACGTTAGCGTTGCTTGGGCCGCCATCTTTCGGGTTGCGCTTGTTGCGGTCGCGTTCTTTGTCCTTCTCTTTATCTTTCTCCTTCTCCTTCTCCTTCTCCTTGTCTTTGGACTTTGCCTTGAAGGTGGTTGTTGTTGTGGTGGTAGTGGTCGTTGTTGTTTCTTGGTCTTTGTCTGCCTCTTTGGCTGGTTTGCTCTTACTTTTCGAGGTTTGCGTTGTCGTTGTGGTCGAAACTTCGCGCTTTAGCAACACTTTGTAGAAATTATCATGGAAGAGGCACAAATCACAATTGAGTGGTAGTTCCGTTTGTGTTTCCACATCCTGGTGTGCCTGTTGGTTGATAATGAGTTGATCAGCAGCAACTGGTGGTAAGGACTCGAGTGGCATAAGCGCTAACTCTACTTGAGCTGGTCCTTCCTTTCCGCCTTTTTGCGAAATAGTGGTCGGGTCTGCCTTCTCGACTACAGTTTCCTCGCTAACTTCTACAACACTCTTCGGCTCATCGTCGGCGATGCTTTCCACTTGATAACCGTCTTCGGTAGAAATGGACGTATTTGTGCGTTGCGTGCCATCGCCAGTTGTCTTTGAGAAATCCAACGTCGAGGCTGCCGTGTTCGGTTTTAGCTGCTGTTGCATCCAGTAGGTGGCGATCTGCAGATTGCCTATAGCGTTCTGTAGTCCAAATATATCGCTGGTCACGGGCAGTGGTATAAGTGTGGCTGGTTGCATGATTACTGCGACGTTTTCCTGTGCACCACTGCTGAACTGTGGTTTTTTCGGTTCTTTTTTCACCTCTGTGGCATGAACAGTTTTCTTTTTGATATTTCGACGCAAGTTTATAGGCGTGCCAATGAGCACCCTTTCTTCTCCCTCGTCTTCAGCTTGACTGTCTGCTTCATTTCTGTCGTTTATTATTTTAGCGTAGTTTTGTGAGTTTATCACTTCCCCTACTTCCGGTGGTGGAGTGGTTGAACGCTCTGCGGCTTTCTCCACGCTCTGTATCTTATGCGGGTTTTCAGCCTTTCCTCCAGTTTCACTTGGCTTATTTAACTCCGCTTTGTCCTCACCTTGCTTTATCGGTGCATTTCTCTTAACCGATTTTCTTGTGTTACCTTTCGTTTTCGGTTCTTTAGTTTCCGCCTTCTCAGCTGTCTTGTCATCAGCTCCCAACTGCATTGCTTGCTCGTCCTTCTGCAGTTCCTGCTCCAGTGATGGCCCACGCTGTTTCCGCTTACGTTGTTTTTCCTGCTTCGCTGCCTCCTCTGCTTTGGCGATCGCATCCAACATTGCCTGCTGTTTTTTCTTCTGCACCTGCTCGCGCTCCATTTGCTGTCGACGCTCCCACTCCAAGCGCTCTTGCTCAAGCTGCTTCTGCCTGCGCAAGCGTTCCTCCTCCAGCATTTCTTCCTGCTTGTGTCGCTCCAGCTCCCACTTGCGCAGCATTTCTCGCTCGTGCAGCTGTTGCTTAATCGCATTGTGATACTCGGCTGCCTTTCGGCGTTTATCGATACGTTCGGCCATAGTGACCGGATCTACGGGTGCGTTCTGACCGCGTAGGTAGGAGGAGTGCATTGATTGCGTGTCGTCTTCGCTGTCTTTCAGGTCGTGCGGACCACGTCCACGATTCAACCAGTTTGGTCCGTTGCTCTGCTTCAGTGAGTACTCGCTATGAACGCTGTTGTTATTGTAATTGGACCACTTGGCGCGTTCTCGCTCCTCGTGCGCCTGTTGTGCTGTTGCTGTGGTTGCGAAATAATCGTTTTGGTCGCCCGGGTGTATGGGATATGTATTCGAGGTGGAGATGTCGCGTGTGCTGTGGATGGAGGGACTGAGCGGGGGCATGTAGTAGCTGTAAAGGAAAAAGTAAAGGATTTAGGTAAATACCGTAAGGAGCTTAGTGCAACCATGTTTTTAGGGAAGCCTAGGAACCGTCGCCTTGGCAGATATTTCGATAAAACAAGCCCCAACCACTTACCTGCCCTGGCAACTGTCTTCCATGCCGCTGTTGTACGAGTGAGCCACGACGTAGGTGGAATTCATTACTTGCTGTTGTTGCCGCTCCTGCGCTTCTTGTTGTTGGTTTTGACTTTTGGCGAGTGGTTGACCTATTATCGATCTTTTTGCGCGCCTTGCATTACCATCGCTCATTTCATCAACGCTTCCCACACGACCATCAACACTAGTGACAGTGGCAACCGCACTCACTCCCACGCCGCTGCCGTCAGCACCGTTACCACCACTATTCGCTGTGCTGCTACTACCTTGCAGGCTAGCGCCGTCATTATACCAAATTTCCGGCGTGTGTGGGTTCTTCGGCGAATCGCTACGATAGCCCGAGGTGTCTTCTTCCTGGCAACCAGGATTGCCTGGATTATTCGGATTGTTAGATCGATGCGGTGCGTTGCCAGGCGCACCAACAGGAATGCCAATACCGCATGCCGCCGGTGCCAGTTGTGTAGCGTGTGTTGGTATTTTCTCTGCAGCCAACTTCGATTGGGGCTGGCGTGCTAGATAGTCCTGATGACGAATGACAGGCAAGCTGGGGCTTCGTATGCGCATTTGTGGGTGATGTTGCTGTTGTTGTGGTGGCATACGCGCTGGCGCTGCTTGTTGCATGCGTGCCTTGGCTGTTTGTAAACCCGCGCCAGGCAGTGCCATTTCATCGTAAGCATACTTGCGTTGTCCTGGAATTTGTGACATCATGCTGGTGGTGTGATTGCGACGCCCGGGGCCGCGTGGCATAAATGAAGCGCGTCGTGCAGGCGGTTGCCTACGCTGATAACCAGCAGTTAGTTCGTCATCTTCGTAATCAGCGTCAACGTCTGGGTCATCGCCGACCACATCGATGTAACCTTCGAGCTCGTTATCATAGCTATTGCCGCCGCGTTGTATTTGGTGCTGTTGACGTCCAACTGGCTGTGAATGCATGCTGGCATGCGGGAGCGGCACGGCATATGGGTTGGGATTATGTTGGGGATAGCGTGGTAATAGGTCTGGTGCGTAGGTTTGAATTGGCTGCTGAAAATGCTGCTGACGCTGTTGCTGTTGTCGAAACTGTTGCTGGCGTGAGCTGCGCTGTTGATTATGCATTTGCGACTGACTTACGTCCATGTTCGAGTAGTAGGTGCGTATGGAGGTGCGTTCGATTTTGTGATGGTGCGATGTCGCCATGGTCGAGTGCTGCTGATGATGGGAGGAGGAGATGAGCTCGTCCATGCGGGCGATTTCCTCTGCGAAGGGAGAGGTTAGAAAATGCCTGATATTATTATTATCTTAAATACTAACTAACACCGGTTACATATTCAAATTAAAAGTTCCGTTGATTGAATTTGCTCATCTTCATATTTTCGTCCAAGCTACAGCAACCTTGGATAAAGCTCATGCAATCCTCAGCATCAGTCTAAAAATCATTGATTTCTTTCTATGACTATTATTTGGAAACTTTGTATTCGTTCCCGAATAAATGGATTGATACTTGCCGAGGGGCTGGCGCCGAGCTAAGCAAAGCGGAGTGAAGCTTTCAAACTGCTGTAGCTATATGAAAGCTTTCATACCGCAAGCTTTTTCAGAAGCTTTTTTGAGCTGAAATCAAAGCAGTTTTCGATTTTGAATTTTCTATTTAATATTTCAGCGAAATTTCCAATTAATATCTTTAATAAAATTGCGAAAACATTGCTGAAGTGCACAGCTGAAAGTCTGAAAAGTGCGGAACGCCTGGAAAGCTTGTTGTGGAGTTGTACTCTTAACCAGGCAATGATGGATATATTGCACATTCGTCCACCAAGCTCCTGTTTTTTTTTTGTAGGCATTTGGGATCTAAGTTCTAGCGCAACTCCTCCGGGACTTTAGTTGTGGACCCACAAATGTGGGAATGAAATACGACCTGGCTATACAAAAAAATTTTAGTCCTAGTGGATTGGATAGCATTAGATACACTGCACATTCTCTTATATGCGAGGTCGAAGTTACAAACACACTAATAACAAATCGAGTATTTCAGCTAAGAAAACAAAAAATTTCCTTAAAAACTAGCACCATAAATTTACACCTACCACGTTCCTTAGCCCATTGCTGCTTCTTCAAGTCCAACAAAGTATGTGTTTGCCGGCCCTCAGCGCCAGTTATCATGCCGAGTATAGATAACCAAAAGGTAAACTAGATGACTGCTCTACAATTCACTTTTACTAACACAAATTTTTAAACGCATTTTTTATTCCAACGCACTGTTCTACAAACGCTAGAAAATATGAGCATATGTTTTCAAGGCTTAGCACTTTTTCACTTAAGTAAATAAGGCCAAAGGCAGGCGGCCACAATTAATTTATAAAACTAAAATTTCAAGCACTTTTAAGCTTCATACTAAGCTTCTAAATTGTTCTCTGTGCCAAGAGAGAGAAACTTTTAAGATTTATTCGATAATATGTTGGCCATTTTTAGCCAACTTCAAACCATTTGCAGCCGAGTGCCGTCGTTTGCACGTTTAACTAGCTTCCCGTGCTTTGTGCGAATTCCGTCAGTACCATGTCAATCCATCAACTATGTACCCAAAAAGTTGGGCTGTCAACCGACCGTGCATGTGTTCGACAACTAAATATCCGTTGCTATGGTTGTTCTATTGTGTTAATTCCTTGTTTTGTTTGGTTTGGTTTTTCCTGCCTATTTCGCCTTTTTCCTTCCATTTTTTAGTGGTTAAGTTTTCTCCGCTTCCTCTCCTAGTTAGTGTTTTGTATTGGAATGTTTGCGTTACTATGGGTAACCAGGCCAACCAGTCAAGTAAGGGGGTGGTAAACAAATTCAATTTTTTGGTATTTGTCGACTAACGTCAGTAGGAGGGGAGCATGTAATAGTTGCATATTTCGAATGTAATTTTTACACGCCAGTGTTTAGGCCTTTCATAACAGAGGAATAAATTTGCGTGGTATTACGTGCGCAGTATCACTTTTCCTCAACTTTCTTTAATAAATTTAATTTGAAATAGTGTGGGTGGTATAATTTCTACTCACTCCCAAGCTTCTAAACTACTCAGTTAGAATTGTTGTTTAACAAAGAACTGTTGATAAACATTTACGTATGCCAAAAATAAACAAATTTGTTTGCGAGTAGGAGTTTTACATATGTTCATATGGTCATTACACTGCGAGCCCTTTTTAATTAGAAATTCCCTTGATGACTGAGCTGGAATGGAATAAATTGGGTCATGAAATTCATATATCTCTTTCTAAAAGTAAATATCATCTACATAAAATTTAAAAGACGACATCATTATACTGAGGAAGAGTTTTGCTCAGAAATTGATCTGAAGACCAGCTGGTCGTTAGAAATGCGCTCACCGCAAATTGGAGGAGAAACTTGTCCGGGAAACTTAGCAAATTTTGTAAAGCGCCAATTGTTGAGATATTTTAAAACCTATAATTTTATTAAATTTTGAATCAACTTAATCCACTAAAAACTTGTTTGAAATCCAGCTATACCCATAACCAATATCAAAAACAAACCAGAAATTTTTAGCAAAAAAAAACCGACTCAAATTCTCACATAAAAAAAAATATATATATATATATATATATATTTAATGATCCAATGATCGGATCTGAACAAGATTAGTATGGAACCACCTCTGAGAAACTACCTTTCTGATGCAAAAAGAATTATCAAATTGACGTGGTCCAAGGTTATGCGGTAACATACATAAAAAATAAAAATAAATAAATAAAAGATAAAAAAAAAAAATACCCGACGAGCTGATAACCTCCTCCTTTTTTGAAAGTCGGTTAAAAATACCAGCCACCATTACCAAAAACCAAATTTTCCTAAATTAATTGCTACAAACACCCTCTTCCTTGAAATCATTAGCTAATTAGCCAGAAATCCAGTTTTCTTATAAAATTTTGATTGATTGCCTCAATCCATTTTATCGAAAGCAAAACATGAAATCCAAAACGCATACTCAACTAATAAATAGTAAAATCTTAAATAAAATCAATCTACTACAAGATGGGCAACACCCAAAATGTGTAAAATATGCGAAAAATTTAAATATGACAAACTGAAAAAAAGGAGCTTGCCAAAATAGATAATGGGGATGTACAAGTGAATTATGCAAACAAACCGAATTTGATGGACAACAGAGCTGACTCTAGAAAACACATATTTGGACATGTGCATGTAAAAATAAGTACACCTAGATACATATATACATAGATGTCTTCCATCATTAGTTCAGTTAGCGTTGAGACATTAGGTTGATTGGCGAAATTAATCAAAACGAAATGATGTCAGATATTGGTGCTGGCGCATGGGTATTTGTATGTGCATAGGTATCAATGTATTTTCATACGTACATACACTGCTGGCAAAAGGTATTGGCACAGCTGCTGTTTTACAATATATGCAAAAAATTTTATTGTAATATTTTTCCGAAATTTTTTTTTTATAAAAATATGGTTCATTTCACAACAAAAAACACAAAAATATAATTTCCAAACTTTGTGCAAAACTCGCGAAAATTCAGCAAATTTTCAACTTTTTAATCCGATTTTTTAGAATTTTTTTGAGTATGGACATTTTTTTTTATAACAAATTAGCGGAAAAATATTAGAATAGAAATTAGTGCATATATTATGCACAATTCGCTGTGCCAATACTTTTTTCCGGCAGTGTAAATATTTGACGTTTTTAAAATGCAAACTGCAAATAAGTAGACTTATGAAAATGTGTATAAATGTACACTAGTGCGGTCCTTGAAAAATCAAATGAACGATTTCTTTCAGTCTAACCCCCTTATTAGATAATGCCATGGGCCGAGAAATCAGACATAAATTTTGGTCCCGAATGGAGCTGGTTAGGGCGTGTTGCATAGGTGTCAAAGTTCAGATTAGCCTATGAAGACTCAAGAAAATAAAATTAACCGTCTTCATTCGGGGCCAAAATTTATATGTGATGCCTTCAACTTTAGTCGTATCGATTTTGGGTATTAGATAAAAACACAAATTTAGTTTAATAATTTTTTTAAATTTCCATACGAACATCTTAAATTTGCGCCTTAACCGTCTCCAATCGGGGCCACATTTTATTTGTGATAAATTCAACTTTAGTAGTATCGATTTTGGGTATTATATGAAAATAAAAATTTAGTTTAATATATTTTTTTTAATCTCCAAACCAAATTTTATATGTGATATCTTCGACTATATTATCGTTGACGTAGTGGTTGAGGTGCAGAAAATCGGATGTAAAAATTTGCTTCCTACATTTGAGGATCACCTTAATGTACATTTATGTATATATACGAAGTGTAAAGAAATATGAATTCGCTGTATCACCAACCGAAAAATTTGCTTGGATGCTAACAACAAAGTGGCTAATTGTTAATGGGGAAATGAGCGTATAATTTATTATATGCGATATATTTATATACATCAGACAACAAGTGCATTTTGTAGCGTGTGAAAGTTGCAAAAATAGATATATGTATGTATGTATACCCACATGCAAATGAGAGATGACCTCGCGACCTAACAAAAAGATATTATAATAAATTATTTATAAATGCGAAAACGGTACTCATACTCGATTTTTCTTGGAAAATTTTGTGTAATTATGTGGATTCCGTGGCAGGCATATATGGGCTGTATTACATTGTAGATATATTTGAAACGCGTTTTTAAACTGTAAAATAATACATATATACGCCCTCAGAGTCAGCTTGTGTCACATTTCACGATTTCTATCAAAAGTTTTTTCTTTAATTGTTAAACAATATTTAGATCCATTTTCAGACCACTGCCCTGCAATTATTTATTTTAATTTTTTGAAATTATTTCTAAGGGTATTCAAATATGCAGGAGATATGCTTAAATATTTTTAGACATCATAAAGAATAAAAATTCTCCAAAAGGGCTAAGTTAGAACGGAAACAGTAAAAAATATGAGTATCACAAGAACACACCAGAAAAATAATTTAAAAATATTTATATTATGATGTTAGTTAATATATCAATCTACATTTTTAACAAATTTCTCAGTTCTTAAAAGTTCACACTGGTAAGTAAGTTTTCACATCAAACGACTTAATCCAAATTGTTGTTTACATTTCACAGCGCTGTAGATTAAGCGGCAACATATCGCCACTACAGATACTCGTATGTGGAGAACAATTTTCCCATATCAAGCTCTAACAATTATACAATACTAAATATCATTATAATATTTTGTCACATCTCAGGGCTATGAGAATTTCAAAGCAATATTTCTTAAAACATACAGTGACTCAAATTACGTTCGCATGTTGATTTTTTTATCATATTCACAAGGCATTTCAAGTAATTTTTTTTTAAATATTTTTTGTAATCAAAGCCATATACATACATAAAAGAAAGTTTCAGAAAGTATTTATAAAAATTCAAAAAAGTTTCATCAAAATTTCGAGCTTATTAATCTGAATCAGTTTCATAGCGCGTAAAATTTTTACATAATAACGTGCGATTGTCAAGCCGCTTGAGTTTTAATAATTTTTTGTTGCTGGTGGCTTTTTCCAGAAATTCGGTTTAAGAGGCTCGAAATTTTGATGAATATGTTTTAAATTTTTAAATTTTTTTTCTAAAGTCTCCACTTCTATGATTTTGGCTATAACAAAAAAAAAATATTTTTTATTAATTAATTTGGAAATGCTAATGAATGGTAAAAAAATCAAAATGTAAAGTATTTTTTGAGTCACTGTATATATACATACATATCTATGCTAATATGTTTATACGGAATTATTGCCGCACACGATTTCTGGTCATTTCGTTCAACAGTCACACCATTAGAAGTTGCCGATTTACTACCTCAACTAAATTGTTTTCTTTAATTATGTTAATAGGAGCAATGTAAACTGAGAGAATTGAGCAAACAACTGGAACATTTTAGAAAAAAAAGCACTAAGATTAATACGTGAATAGGCAGCGTAACTTTCGTAAACAAAAAAGTGGTAATATGTAGGTAAAAAAAAAAAAAACTGTTAATAAAAACAATGCCAACACATTTTCGTGTGCTTATTGTTTCTTGTCATATTTTCGTGATTTTATTACGAACATGTTAATTAAATCAGCGCAACTCGGACCACACACGCAGCGGTTGTTGCTATA